CATCGTTCAGCTGCCTCCTGCATGCCCCCAACCAGGGACCAAGCCCACAACCTGGGCATGTGCCCTGTCTGGGAATAGAACTGGCAACCCTTTGGTGTGCGGGACTGCGCCCAACCAACTGAGCCACACTGGCCAGGGAGGGAGGGAGGGAGGGATTTTTGTCTGCTTTGTTCACTGCTATCCCCAGTGCTTAGAACAGTGTCTGATATGTAATGGGAGATTTTTAAAAATTTGGTGAATGCATGAACCTGTCTTCTTCAAAGTCTGCCTGTAGTTTGTCCACCCTTGGGAAGGAAGTCATCCTCAGTGCAGGACTGGGCTGGTCGGGAGCTGGGATGATGACGGTAACTCGACCACTTCTGGGGCACTCACACCGTGCCTGACACAGCCCCAGGGCTTTACATGCATTGCCTGATGTAATGATTTCCCCCAAACGACCACCCGAGGTGGGTATTTATATTATCCCAATGTTACAAATAAGGAAACCGAAGCTCACAGGGAGGTGGATATACCTTGTTCAAGGTCACACAGCTTGTGAGGAGCAGAGCAAAATTCAAATCCAGGCCTGTGTGGATCCAGGTGCTGAGTCTTGCCCTCTGCCATACTGCTGGATCCTGCCCCGAAAGGGCCTGTGGCCAGCGAGCGGGTTGCAGAATCACCGCACAAGGTCTCACGTGCTAAATGCTAACTGTGTCATGTCTGACTCTGTCCTTTCCCTCGCTCCCCACATCCGGCAGTCCCCAAGTCTGGTCAAATCTGCAGCCCGACTTGGGAAAGGCTTTGGAAGCCTTCCCTTCAACCCACCTCCGGCCCCCAAATTAGCTCGGGGCCTTGTGAACACTCGCAAGGTCCAAGGTCATGGTCTCCCAGCTATTCCCCTGCCTCCAGGCTTACCTCTCACTGAAGGTCAACTTCCCCAATGCAGCTCAGGTGGTATTACCCTTGGTCTCAGAACCCTTCACTGGTCCCCACTCACTCTAGAATAAAGCTCCAATTCCTCAGCCAGGCACTCAGGGGTCTACTTCCAATCTTCCTTTCCAGTCTTGCCTGTGCTCGTCTCCCTTCAAGCACCCAGTGTGCTCTACAACCTCAACACATCCTGGACCTCCATGCTTTTGCCTATGCTGGTCCTCCTGTTAGAAATGCAGCCTTTCCTCCACCTCTTCTCCAAAGCCCTGCAAAATGTTAAGATGGAACTCAAATGCCACCTCCCTCGTGGCCCTACCGAGCCCACAGGACGACAAGCTCTCCCTCGCCTGGCTCATCCACATCTCTTTGCTTCTATGGCCAGCACCCAGCGGCAGATATTAGCTCACTCCCCAGGCGAGGCCTTGCTGAGTTGCTAAGCACATGGGTCTTCTGAAATGGATTGGTGCAGGTGCTGAGGGAGACAGAAATTGGGGAGAAGTGTGTGCATAGAGAGGCCCGCAGAAAACTGCAGAAGGGCAGCAGAAAGCAGCGCAGAAGAGCACAGGACCTGGAACCTGACTGCCTGCGTTCAAATCCAGCTCTCCCTCGTCCTAGCTAAGTGGGCCTCAGCGGTCTCATCTGAAAAGGAGAGGTAATTAGAATACCTACCTCCACGGGGGACTGTGAAGACTAAATGAGTGATCATATGTGAAGCTGAGAACAGTGCCTGGTACACAGTAAGTGCTAAATAAGTGCTTACTGCTACTGTTATGAGCCAAGCCCCAACAGGGGCTCAGCGCTGGCAGAGGGCTGACAGTTGCTGGCATAGTCCCCAAACTGTAGCTACTTTTCTGGCACATTTCCCATATGCTACTTGCTTACAACCCTGTTGGGAGATAGGCAGGGCAGACAATTAGTCCCATTTTACAGATGGGGAACCGAGGCTCACTCAGGGAAAGTGCCAGTGAAGAAGCAGGAGGGCCAGAACCCGTCAGTTCTACCTAGACCTCCTTCCCCTCCACCAGGCAGCGGCGCCCCTGCTGTGCAGGCCTCGCTTAGCGCCCAGCAGCCCCTCCATGCAGGAGGCCCCAGCCATCGTGCCTTCCTGCCGCTCCCCATGCATATCCACCCTCCAGGCCAGGCGAGGCGCAGTACCCAGTGGTGTGTACACACTCGGAACACACACACACACACACACACACACACACACACACACACACACACTACAGAAGGGCCCAGGCCCCAAAGGTGAGGAAAACCGGTTCCGAGGAATCTGTCTAGTGAGCGAATTCAGACCCTTCCACGGTCACAGGAGCTGCCAGTGTGCGTCACAGACACAGAAGCGATGGAAAAGCAGAGATACCAGCAAGGGGGGCCGAGAGAGGGTGAAGCAGGAGGCGGAGGCTGAAAACTTCGTGTTTCTTTTTTCCATTTCAGTGACAAGAGTCACACCCGACCTTTACGTAAACACGACCAAGGAGCCACTCTGTCCAAGCTCCGTTTCCTCGCAGCCGCCAGGCCTCTCCTCCCAGTGACCCTGGCACGCTGGGCAGGCCAGCGAGAGGCCAGCGCACAGACCCTGCACAAAGACGAGCCTGGCCACCGGACGTCACCCAAGCCTCCTGCCTGCTGCCCTTGCTCTGCCCCACATTTATCTCCCTGCCTTCTTCCTAACACAGCCCCACAAGGCCACTCACACACACGAAAGGCAGGCACGCACACACGGCTGCGGCTGGTCTCGAGGCTGAGGCCCACACGCCCTTGTCACGCCACCTCCCTCCCCACAAGTGTTCTCTGAGCAGCTCGCCTCCCAGCCCAACAGCAGGGACAGGCTCCCCACAAACAATGTCACAAAAGAATCCCTCAGCGCACACACAACCGTCCCCCCGCTAGGCTGCCCGCGGTCCCATCAACACGACCTGCACATTCCACCCAGAGCCCCTCACACCAGTGCCAGCTGCTCCACAAGTACTTGAGACACACCCTAGGGTTTCTCAAGTCCCTCACGATGGGTGGTACCTGAGTTCTAGACGTGCGCCACCTCCCCAGGCAACCCGCTCATCGCACAGACACAGGAACCCATCCAGCGGGGCCGTCCTCACCGAGCAGCACAGAAACGGGCCACACCTCAGCGGCACAGACGCGGGGCCCAGAAGTGACACCTTCCAACTCAAAGGTAAACAGCCGCCCCTCCAAACAGGCGCAGACCAGACGCCTGCGCTCGGCCGCCCAGAGCCCTGACACCAGCGAGCTGTGCGGAAAACAACAGTTCATAAATAGTTCATCCGTGCAGGAGGCAGAAGAAAACACTTGCTGCTATAAACCCGCCCAACGCCCCACATCCAGCAAACTCTGCAGGTACCGGATCCTGCCTGGAACGGGGACCTGTCACCCCAAGCCACGGGGCCACCTGCTGTAATTCTGCCCCACAACCCCGGGCACCCCACCACCGGGCTTCCAGTCCCCATGGCCCAGGAGGGCGCTCCCCAGACCCCTGGCTGCCAGGCCAGCAAACGGTGGTGCGCAGGAGCGGTTTACCTGGCCGCACAACACGCAGGAGACACGCAATCTCCGGGACCCACAGCCACCACCCTGCCCCGACGGCGCAGCGGCTCCGGGCCCCGGCTGGTCCTGCGCACCCCGCGCACCCTAACTCCGGGGCGCTCACCGGCCCACCCCTCCCCCGCTCTGCCTGGCTCCTACGCCATCGCCCTCCCAGCCGCTAGCAGCGCCGGCCGGGGCTCACGCCCGCCCAACCCTACCCCCAACCTGCCCCAGAAGGGGAGGGGGCATTCGGCTGCAGAATTAACCTTTCAAATGGGGAGTGAGGGCGCCCCTTCCCCGGCCCCCGCGATCGCGCCTGCCCCGGCCGCCGCTGGGTCGGACGCCGAACCCGGGCCCCTCAGTCGCCCCCTCCCAGCGCCGTGCGCGCCTGGGGGCGGGGCCAGCCTCAGCCCCCGACCCCGGAGCCCCCGGGTCAACCCCAAAGGGTAGCGGTCGGGCGCGGGGCGCGACCCTGGCCCCCGCGGCACCGGGCAGCGGGGAGGGGGCCCGGCTGTTGGCTCCGGTCCGCCTGGCCCTGCCCGGCTCGCCCGGGGCCCACCTGACTGCGATGGCGCCGCGTCCGCCAGGCCCGGCTCATCACCGTGGCCGCCCCCGGCCGCTCCTGTTTCGCCCGCCTCCAGCTCCGGCTCCGGCTCCGGCCCCGGCCCCCCCAGCGCCCGGCCCCGGCCCGGCCCCGCAGCCGCCGCCGCCGCTGACATCATCGGCTCCCCCCCCACCCCGGTCCTACCCCCACCCCCACCCCCGGAAACAGTCCCCCCCAGCGCCGCTGCCGCCGAGAGGAGGCCGGCGTAGCGCAGCCGACACCGACACAGGGCTCCGGGCTCGGGTTGGGGCCGGCGCACCCTGCGGCCTTTGCCCGGACCGGACCGATCCCGGGGGAGGAAGGGCTCGCGCTGGGCCGCCGGGCGGCTGGGCACCCAGCGGGGCGCGGGCCTGGCTGCAGCACCCCCGCAGGGCGCACGACCACCCACTCCTAGGAAGGGACAGCCCCCTCCCCCCAACACACACACACACACACACACACACACACACACACACACACACACACACTGCCCTCCACGGCGTGGCACTCCGCCCAGAGATCGCACAGCCTGTTAGGGCGCAGACCCACAACATGGCAGGCTCGGCTCGCAATCCGGCCTCGGTGGACCCGCAGACCCAGGTTCAGCACACTCACAGAGCCAGCACACACACACACACACACACACACCCTCCCCGGAAATGCAGGGCACCCGCACCAGGCCAGGCCCAGGAATGCCCAGCCTCTGGGAACAGGCCCATCGATGGCTACCAGCGCAGATGAGCAGGCAGCTAGGTATTTTGTCCACCAGAGGAAATATCCAATTCTATGTACTGGTCCGTAATGCAGAGGCCTTGGTGTGGGCCTCCTCGGACAGCACCGACAGCACACACGGAAGAAACACATTCCTGCAACTCCAGAGGGACCGTCCCCAAGGCTCCTCCCTGGTCTTCAAAAATCCAAAACCCAGGAGACCGAAGAACCAGCCCTCAGAGCTCCTTTCTGAAACAAGGTGAGACATGACAAGCTAAAACCAAAGAAGTCTCATCACAGAGCTAGTCTTAAAGAGAAGAGAAAAAAAAAAAAAAGAATCAGAACAACTTTGGAATCACCGAGGCAGAGATGTAAAGCCAGCAGAGTGGGACACAGAGAGAAACAGGCCCACCCCCATCTCGGGGAGGTTCGGGGAAGAACCCCACCCCTGCCATCAGGTCACAATGGCTGGAGCTCTTAAGGGTCCCAGGGGCCCTGAGCCAGGAGGAGTGGAGGAAGTCCAAGGAAAGATGGTGAGGGCTAAGGGGCCATAGCCTCCTTCCTTATAGCTCCTGGCTGCTCCCCGTTCCCGCCCCTAGCACTTGCCAGCTGTCCTAGAGAAGGAACAAATGACATTCACCGTGGTGTGCCCAGATGTCCCTGGAACCTGTGACATCACATAAACACATAGCGTCAGAGGCCACCTCCTCTTCCTCATACCAGCTGAGCATCGCTGGCTCTTCCTTTTCTCCTCCCAGGAACAACTTACCCAGAGAAACGGTGCTCCAGGACTACTCACGCCCTGCTTCCTGCCGTATTACCCCACTGCACTGCCTCATCCCTCTTTCAGGCCCTTTCTCGCTCCCGAGTTCCTCAGCAAGACGGCCTGCCCCTCTACAGTCCACGGGGTCCTAGACCCCAGCCTGACATTTGCCCTGTCTCAGGTCCCCTGGACTATGGCTGCCCTAATGCCTGAGCTCTTTTCTCCCTAACAAGCTGGCACTCACCCCTCCTTCAACCTGCCAACTTCACCCAGTCATCATGGCTGGCCCTCCACTCCGCCCAGCCTCCCCCTGGCACCTGTACTGCCACCCACGAGTCTGTTTGTGGCCGGGCTGGGCCCCTTCTCCCAGGCGTCTTACCAGATTTCCCACTTATCCTTGCTGGAGCTGCTCATCCGTTGATGCCTCTTCCACCTCCCCTTTGCCTGGCCCCTGCCTGTATGCCCTCACTCAGGTGATGCCTGCTGGCAACACTGTCCTCGTCCACAAAAGTTTTTCCATCATCTGCTCTGTTCTCCTCGCCCTCTGTCTCGAGAGCCAGGGTCTCAGTCACCAGGACTGGTATGGCCTAGTGGGCAGCACCGTGGGACTCATCATCATTGTGGGACCTGGACGAGGGATACTACCGAGGGGACGAAGGGCCTCTGCATGGCTCTGAGCTATGTGCTCGCTTTTCTGGGCGGCCTGGCACTATCGCTGGGGCTTCCCCTCCTGCCTACCAACAGTGCCTTCCTGTTCGGCTTGATGGACCCGGTGGGCTGTGTACCAGGCCTTTCTCCTTTCCCCTGCTGCCCATTGATCCTCTCCTCTGAGCTGGAGCTGTGTGAGGGCAGTGGTGATCTTTGCTCTGGTCTCCTGTGTGTGAGCTATTCGGTCACCAAGGTCCACCCTGCCCTGGTGTGCACTATCCTGCACTCTGAGGTGGTGGTGGCCCCCGCGATACTGCAGTATTGGGTGCTCTATGAGACTGTGGCACCTTTTCTTTTATTTTCTATTTATTTATTATTTTTAAAAATATGTTTTTATTGATTTCAGAGAGAGGAAGGGAAAGGAAGAGACAGAAACATCAATGATGAGAGAGAATCATCAATAGGCACACCCCCTACTGGGGACCGAGCCTGAAACTTGGGCATGTGCCCTGCCCAGGAATTGAACTATGCCTGGTTCATAGGTCGATGCTCAACCACTGAGCCACACCCACTGGCTGGGCTATTTTATTTATTTATTTATTGTTGGTAATCTTCTCCTAAGGATATATATATTTTTTTAATTAAATTTTTATTGTTCATATTATTACAGTTGTTCCTCTTTTCCCCCCCATAGCTCCCCTCCACCCGATTCCCACCTCACCCTTACCCCACCCCCCACTGTCCTCATCCATAGGTGCACGATTTTTGTCCGGTCTCTTCCTGCACCCCCCACACCCCTTTCCCCCTCAAGAATAGTCAGTCCACTCCCTTTCTATGTCCCTGATTCTATTATAATCAACAGTTTATTCTGTTCATCAGATTATTTATTCACTTGATTTTTAGATTCACTTGTTGATAGATGTGTATTTGTTGTTCATAATTTGTATCTTTACCTTTTTCTTCTTCTTCCTCTTCTTAAAGGATACCTTTCAGCATTTCATATAATACTGGTTTGGTGGTGATGAACTCCTTTAGCTTTTTCTTATCTGTGAAGCTCTTCATCTGACCTTCAATTCTGAATGATAGCTTTGCTGGATAAAGTAATCTTGGTTGTAGGTTCTTGGCATTCATCACTTTGAATATTTCTTGCCACTCCTTTCTGGCCTGCAAAGTTTCTGTTGAGAAATCAGCTGACAGTCGTATGGGTATTCCCTTGTAGGTAACTGACTTTTTTTTTTTTTGCTTTTAAGATTCTCTCTTTGTCTTTTGCTCTTGGCATTTTAATTATGATGTGTCTTGGTGTGGGCCTCTTTGGATTCCTTTTGTTTGAGATTCTCTATGCTTCCTGGACTTGTAAGTCTATTTCTTTCACCAGGTAGGGGAAGTTTTCTGTCATTATTTCTTCAAATAGGTTTTCAATATCCTGCTCTCTCTTCTTCTGGCACCCCCATAATTTGGATGTTGGTACGCTTGAAGTTGTCTCAGCTCCTTACACAATCTTCATATTTGTGGATTCTTTTTTCTTTTTGTTTTTCCGGTTGGGTGTTTTTTCCTTCTTCGTGTTTCAAATCTTTGACTTGATTCTTGTGCTTCTCTAGTCTGCTGTTGGAACTCTGTATAATATTCTTTATTTCAGTCAGTGTATGCTTAATTTCTAGTTGGTCCTTTTTCATATCCTCAAAGGTCTCACTAAATTTATCGGCGGTTTCTAGAATATTCTTGAAAAACCTTATAAGTGTGGTTTTGAACTCTATATCCTGTAGTTTGCTTTCCTCCATTTCTGTCATTTGTGACCTGTTTCTTTGTCTCCGCATTTTTTAAAAATATATTTTATTGATTTTTTACAGAGAGGAAGGGAGAGGGATAGAGTTAGAAACATCAATGAGAGAGAAAAATGGATCAGCTGCCTCCTGCACACCCGCCCCCCCCCCCCCCCCCGACACTGGGGATGTGCCCACAACCAAGGCACATGCCCTTGACCGGAATTGAACCTGGGACCCTTCAGTCTGCAGGCTAACGCTCCATACACTGAGCAAAACCGGTTACGGCTGTCTCCGCATTTTTTATGCTTCCCTGTGTTGATAGAGTGGCTTTCTGTGCTAGGTGTCCTGTAGGGCCCAGTGGCTCAGCCTCCCCAATTACCTGAGGTGGACACTCTTGGTAAACCCCTTTGTGGGCTTTGTGCACAGTCTTGTAGTTAAGCCTTGATTGCTGTAGGTATCACTGGGAGGAATTGACCTCCAGGCCAATTGGCTGTGAAAATCAGCTGTGTCTACAGTGGGAGAACTTCTGTGCTGGAGACGCCCTTCTGGGGCAAGACTTGCTTCAGTGGGGCTTTGGTGTTCACTGAGTCTGCCCCCTGAGTGTGTCCCTTATGGATCTGAGGAATTGTAATCTGGATGGTCCACCTCTGACCACTGGGTACACTGGCTCTTGGATCTCTAAGGAGGTGCTAATTTAGCCTCTGCCTGAGGCTACCCAGCAGGAGCTATGGAGAGATCTGCAGATTCCTCTTCTTTGTTTGGGGTTTGGAGGTGCCTAGATGAGGCCCAGCTGTGAAGCAATGCAAGCTGCTGTGGGGCCTTGGGCCTTTTTGGATGTTCTGGGTCTCTCTGACCCAGCTGCAGTTTGTTAGGTAAATTTCAGATTGCAAAGGGCCAGACCTTTCATATGCAAAAGCCTCTGCTCACAGCTTGGGTGGGGTGGGGTCTCAGGGAATCAACAGGGCGGAGCAAACAGCTATGGCTGATCCTCAGTCCTGCCCTAAGAGGCCCCGCATCTCAGTGTCCAGGTAATCGCTGCCAGCACCTCTGAGAGAAAGCCGTCCTCGAGTTCTGCCTGATGCCAGACAGTCCAGTTTCTCCCCGTATGAGTCTGGGTCCCCAGAGACTCACCCAGAACTGGAGTTCAGAGCAGTTGGGAGCTTGAGACTCCCTCCCAATTGAAAAAGACAACTGTGTCCTCAGTTGCCAGCCCTTTCTGTGCGTGCCTCTGTACCTCTGCACTTTACTTCCGCACCTCCTCTTAAGTTTCAGTGTGCCTTTCTCTTTCCTTCTAGTTGTAGAATTTCCACTCAGCCAGCCTTGCTGTGGTTCTGGATGATGTCTGTTTTGTCTTTTAGTTGTATTTTTGAAGTGGTTGTGCGAGACAGCAATTTCAGGTGTTTACCTATGCCGCCATCTTGGTTTCTCCCCAGGATATATATATTTTAAAATATATTTTTATTGATTTCAGAGAGGAAGGGAGAGGGAGGGAGAGAGAGATGGAAACATCCGTGATGACAGAGAATCATTACTCAGCTGCCTCTTGCACACCCCCTATTGGGGATCAAGTCCATAATCTGGGCATGTGCCCTTGACCAGAATCGAACCCGGGACCCTTCAGTCCGCAGGCTGATGCTGGGTAGGGCAAGGATATTTTTTCCATTGCTTTTTCAGAGAGAGTGGAAGAGAGAAAGGGGTGGGGAGAGAGAGAGAAACATCAATGTGAAAAAGCCATATCGACTAATAGGGGAGAGTGAACCCACAACTCAGGTGCCTTGACTGGAATCAAACCCTTCAGTGTGTGAGCTTATGCTCTAATCACCAAGCAACACCAGCCACGACTTTTTTTTTTTTTTTTTTTTTTTTTTTTTTTTAGAGAGAGGAAGGGGGGAGAGGGAGAGAGAGACATGGATGTGAGGGAGAAATATCAACATTGATTGGCTGCCTTCCACACCCTCCCCCGCACCTCTGACTGGGATTGAGCCCACAACCTGAATTTGTGCCTTGACCGAGAATTGAGCATGCCACCTTCTAATGTACAGGAGACGCTCCACCCGAGTGAGCCACACTGGCCAGTGCGAGAGAGATGGTGGCACCTCTGACATCATTGGGGCAGTGGTTGTGCTGGCCATCACCAAGGCCCAGATACAGGGGTGGGCAAACTTTTTGACTCGAGGGCCACAACGGGTTCTTAAACTGGACCGGAGGGCCGGAACAAAAACATGGATGGAGTGTTTGTGTGAACTAATATAAATTCAAAGTAAACATCATTACATAAAAGGGTACGGTCTTTTTTTTCAATAGTTTTATTCATTTCAAACGGGCCAGATCCGGCCCGGGGGCCGTAGTTTGCCCACAGCTTGCCCAGAACCTCAGCTGTGAGAGGGTAGGGCAGGTGGAGGAGTGAGACTGACTTGAGAGCTGGGGGTGGGGGGAAAGGCAAGGGCAAATAGGGGCTGGAATAAAAACCTGGGAGAACAAGCGACTGGAAGAGAACTGGTGTGGGACAGGGACAGACCTTGGGGTCCAGGGGAACCGGGACTTGGTGGAAAGGGACTGCCTGGAAGACCTGGCACAAGCCTGGGGACCAAGACATGTGGAATCCAGGCTGGGGCGAGAGGATCGGAGAAGAGTAATAAATACTGTCCTGGGGCGAGAGGATCGGAGAAGAGTAATAAATACTGTCCGAGGAGCAGATCCAAGGAGCTGAGGCAGGCAGGCCATGAGTCACGGGGAGATGGCACCCCAGCACAGGGAGAAGGCCAGGGGCTGGGGCGTCCGGAGGCCAGCAGAGCAATCAGCTGCGCTGGGGGAAGGGCGTCTGCCTGTTTTCCTTGCGTGAGATTGCCTTCCCAGTGGCTGTGCCCCCTCCCTCCCTCCACCCCAACCCGTCCCCCCTCTCTGGCCAATTTGGGGTGGTGACGTGACATTGACATCAAACAAGGATCACCCTGAATGTGGCTGCACAGTTTGTGTCATCTCCGCTGTGGAAGGATAGTGGGAGCCCCCCTCCCCCACCTTTTTTCTGAAATATTCTAGAAGGGAGAGGATTCCCTAACGTTCGGATGCTTAGGCCCTGACCCCCCGGGGCTTGCGTCCCGCCCCGCGGCTAATCTGCTTTTCCTGGATCGTCACGGTCCGCGATCTCCCTCCCAGGCAGCGGCCAGCCTCCTTCCGGACAGGCCTGAGCCGAGGTCTCGGAGCGGCTCCGGCCGGGGATCCCGCACTCGGGCCGCGGACAGGGCTCCTCCGTGAGCGGCCAGAAGATGCCCACCCGTCCCAGGAGGCCTCTCGGCAAATAGCTACTTCCGGACAAACACTCGGCCTGGCCGTCTGGATTGACTCATACATATTCAGCGCGACTACTGCATATTCATGACCAAGGGCGGCCCCAGCACTACCCCCTGCGGGAACCCCCGCCGGCCCCGCCTCCTTCATTACCGAGTCACAGAACAGACCATTTTCCAGCGGGCGGGGGGGGATATTAATGACAAACTTGGGCTGAAGACGAAACACACTCCAAACTAGACTCCAAGCAGCCTATATTCACCCTCGATCCTCCAAGCCTCAAACCTCAGCGCGGGAGCGAGCAGTTTAGGGAGGTGGAGGGATTCAATTTCCCTTCCCCCCGTCATTTCAAAGGTCGCTCAACCCCGGAGCCGGGAAGGGAGGAGCAACGACTGGAGCGCGCGCCCCCGTGCGGGCCGGCGCAGACCGCCCTGGAGAGCGCAAGGGAGGGCGGGAAAGGAAGGGGCGGGGATGCAGGGACGGATCTATAAAAGGCGTCATTCGCTCAGTTCTCTTCTCAGAAGCGCCGAGAGCGCGGCCGGGACGGTTGGAGAAGAAGGCGGCTCCCGGAAGGGGGAGAGACAAACTGCCGTAACCTCTGCCGTTCGGGAGCCCGGTTAACTATTTATTTGTTACCCTCTTTCTTCTCCCCCCTCTGAACCCTCTTCCTTCCCCCTCCTCCTTTTTTTTCCTTTTTGAGAAACGAAAAACCTCCGGAAACAGGGAGGAAAACTCCTTTCGCTCCTTTTTATTTCCCCGCCTCCTTCCCTCCCCCTACCTTTCCCTCCTCCGGCCTTTTCTTCCCTACTTAGGGAAGATCCTTCCCGGCGGCCGCCCCGACGGGGTCTGAGCTCTTAGGCGGAGGCGGCGCAGGCTTTTTGTAGTGAGGTTTGCGCCTGCGCAGCGCGCCTGCCTCCGCGATGCACGGGGGTGGCCCCCCCTCCGGGGACAGCGCATGCCCGCTGCGCACCATCAAGCGCGTGCAGTTCGGAGTTCTCAGCCCGGATGAACTGGTAAGCGGATCTGCCCTCGACTCTTCCTCCCTCCTCGCTGCGGGCGGGGTGTGGCGCTGCTCGCAGCCCTAGGCGACAGGCCTATGGGTTCGCAACGCCCAGAGCCCTAGGCAACGTGGGGTCCAGCCTAGAGGCTCCTCAGAGTTCAGTTTTGTTAGGGTGTTAGCCTGGCCGCAGCTGAGGCTGGAGCGTGAGAAGGGTGACTGGCACCGCACGGCATAGATCCCGACATGAAACGAAATCAGACGAATTTTAGGGGCCCATTGCAAGTTCCATCACCAAGAAACTAATATTGGCAGTTAGCAAACACAATTCCAGATATTTCATCGAAGGTTGAGTGTTTGGCCCTAACTAGTTTGGTTTAGTGGATAGAGCCATCGGCCTGCGGACTGAAGGGTCCCAGGTTCGATTCCAGTCAAGGGCATGTACCTTGGTTGTGGGCACACCCCCAGTGGGGGTGTGGGGGTGTGTGCAGGAGGCAGCTGATCGATGTTTCTCTGCTCAGATGTCATGTCAAGGGAGCTCTTTCCTCACCACCCTATTTAAATGACATCCTTCTGCATTCTATAACCAACCCTTAGTCTTTTTAAAAAAATATATTCTTTTACTGATTTCAGAGAGGGTGGGAGAAATAGAAACAATGTGAGAGGATAATTGATCGGCTGCCTCCTGCACACCCTATTGGGGATCCAGCCCATAACCCAGGCACATGCCCTGATCAGGAATCAAACCGTGACCTCCTGGGTTTGACGCTCAACCAGTCACATGGCCCTATAACCTCTAGTCTTGATTTATTTTACTTCATAACCTGTCACTACCTGAGAGGATTCGTTTTTCTGTGTGTGGTTTTTTGCTCCCTCAATAGAATGTAAATTTTATAAGAGACTGTTTTCACTCTCTTCTTTCAGCATCTCAAATAGTGCCTGGCACATAAGGCATGTAAATAAAAAGTTTGTCAAATGAGTGAATGAAATAATTGAACAAGTACACAAAGATACATGTAGAAGTATTTTATTGCAACATTGTTTGAAATTATAAATTTCCTAAGTATTAATTTACTAATAGGAATCCTGTTGAATAACTCAGGTTCTGTTTTTACAATAGAACAAGACCTTCCCAATAAATTAAATGTGAGGCTCTGCAGCAAACTCACAGGTGCCCGTGAGAGATTTTAAATTTTCTAGAAACACAAGCACACCTGGGAACTACTAATGCCAGGTAGTTCCTTTTCAACATTAGGTGGCACCAAACCCTTTCAGATGACGTCATGTCTTTGTGAAGCTTGGATTTTAGCAGTTGCTAAATTCTGGGCAAGATCATTGTAGAGCAAGAAATAGGGTGGTCCTGTCCAATCTGATTCTAAGATTTGAGAAGTTGAGCAGTGCCCAGCAGGTATCATAAGTAAATAATTGTGGTTATTGGGGGGGGGGGGAATGCTTTAATATATTAAAAGTGTTTTTCTCAAATTCAGTGTATTTTTTCAAATGGTGTTAAGTTGGTAGGACATAAATACTTAAGCTGTTTGGATCTAAGTAATTAGTAAGTGGTGTTTTTGTGTGTTTTTTTGTTTGTTTGTTTTTGTCTAGGGAGTGTTGTGAAAATTACTGAGACACTAAGGCATTGGACCAATAAGTTTAGGAATCTGGATAAATGAAAGCGTTATTGAACAATATGCAGAATAAGGCCCCATTTATGGAAAAACAAACAAACCGGAACATTTTCATTTTTTAAAAAGCATGAAAGGCTGTTCACAAAACTTACAGGGGTCATTGCTTGCTGTTTATATAGTGCTCCTGTTGTCTAATCATCTGAGGATATGCTTTTATTGATTTGAGGAAGAGAGGAAGCGGGGGGAGAGGAAAGGAGGGAGAGAGAAGAGAAAGTCAGTGATAGATGTTTCTGACATTGATGTCTCTCTCTCTCCCTCTCTAAAATAAATTAAAAAGAAAGAAAGAAGCATCAGTCGGTTGCCTCCCATATGCACCCCGCCTGGGGGCGGGGGGGATTGAACTCATAACCTGGTATGTATCCTGACCAGGAGTGGAACCTGTGGCCTTTTGGTGCACGGGATGACGCTCCAACCAAGTCACACTGGCCAGTTTTGAGGGAATGAAATTTCCACTTTGGGTCGGAGGAGGATGGGTAAGAATCCTCTCGTGGAACAGATAAATTTAAGGGTAGAATATTTTCTCATAAGTCTTGAGGTGGGGTGTATATTGAGATACTGAGGGCTCTGAGAATTGACTGCAAGGTAAAGCTATTGTCTTTGCTGTTAAAAGATGTTTGGCCCTGGCCAGTGTGGCTCAGTTGGTTGGAATGTCATCCCATGCACGAAGAGTCAGGTTTGATTTCTGGTCAAGGTACATGCCCAGGTTTCGGGCTCTTGGTTGGGGGTCATGCTGGAGGCAACCAATCGATGTGTCTCTCACATCAATATTTTTCTCTCCCTCTCCTTTCCTCTCTCAAAAAAGAAGAAAAAAAGTGTTTTGATGTTGCAGAGTAAGGGGAAGGAAGCAGGGAGGTTTGGTGCTGGGGTTTATGAAAAGCTTGGGCAGCCCTGACCAGTTTGGCTCAGTGGATAGAGCGTCGGCCTGTGGACTCAAGGGTCCCAGGTTCGATTCCGGTTAAGGGCATGTACCTTGGTTCCAGGCACATCCCCAGTAGGAGGTGTGCAAGAGGCAGCTGATCGATGTTTCTCTCTCATCGATGTTTCTAACTATCCCTCTCTCTTCCCCTCTGTGAAAAATCAATAAAATATATTTTAAAAAAAATAAAAGAAAAGCTTGCGCAAAGTCAGGGGAAATGGGTGCTTGAATACATTTGAAGGCATTGACTCCTATTCATTAAAAGCAACTTTGTTCCATGGAAAGCATATCCTAATTTATTTATACCCCAACTTATTCCAAGAAGGATTTAAGACAGTAATAGCCCACACTATCTTTTAGGTAGTGTAAAGCTATCCTTGTCTTCAAATTACTTACAATCTAATAAGGGATTTCCTACACGTGCAACAAATATTTACTGAGCCTCTACCATGTGCTGGTTACTGTGCTAGGTGCTGAGGATAGAAAAGATAAATGAAACATAATCCTTGCCTTCAAGGATTACAGTCCAATGGGAGAGACAAATGTGTAAATAACTAATTAAAAATTGGACTGAGGACCTTGCTAGGGTGTGGATAAGGCTTCGAAGAATTGGAGAGGTGACATTTGAATTGGGTCTTTTTTTTTAAAATTGATTTTAGAGTGAGAGGAAGGGAGGGGGAGAGAGTGAAGCATCGATTTGTTGTTTCACTTATTTATGCATTCAGTGGTTGGTTCTTGTATGTGCCCTGACTGGGGATCGAACCACAATATGGCATATCGGGATGATGCGCTAACCAACTGGCCAGGGCTGAATTGGGTCTTAAAGAGTGAAAAGAAGTTTACTGGAAAGGAGGGGCATGTGAAGACAGGGAATTTTGAGAACTCTTTGGCAGTTGGAGCATAAATGGGGTGGAGAGACACCAATTAACACATTGTTTGCGGGTAGTTTTTATCGCGCGCTAACAGGTGGCGCGGGCCATTTTTGCTAATTTTTTGCGCAAATGGCAACGTTCAGTAAAATTACGATAACTTTAGTTTACGTATTTATACGTTACCCGCACTCTACCGCT